TCTTTCTTTCTTTCTTTCTTTCTTTCTTTCTTTCTTTCTTTCTTTCTTTCTTTCTTTCTTTCTTTCTTTCTTTCTTTCTTTCTTTCTTAGAGGGCATCCTGTTTCTCCCAAGTAAACCTACTTTCTTTCTCTCTCTTTAAACCCCCCCCCAGCTGCTCCTTCACAGTAGCTAATCCAAATTAACCTTACCGCTTCCCCTCCTCCTTGCCTACTCTCCTTCCTCCGACAAGCTAACAAGCGCTGCTTTGATTAACCTTAACCAGTAGTTTTAACTAGATGCTAACTCTAACTTTAGATAATGTTTTTAACCTTTTCCTTAATTAGCAACTAAATCTAACTAGATCCTTAACCAGCTTTAACCACCTAATCCCTTTTCCACTCCACTAATCAGAAAGAATAATCACATCGTTTTTATCCCAGATCCTGAAAATGGTGCATTTGGGGTAGCATGGAAAGAGGGGGAGGGGAAGAGAAAAAGGAACGGAAGGGGGAACTGAAAAAGCAAAAATGAATAGCTGGAGGACAAAAGGCCGGAGTGGGGAAAAAAAATTGGTATTATCCTTGCTTCTTCTGCAGATATTATTCGTAAGTTTCAGCAAGTCACACACCACTGGGGATGTTTAAAAATATTTGCATGGGCCGTCAAAAATTGGACAGTCTCTGGGATGCCTAGGGAACCTGGATCCAGAAAAACGTCCGTGAAATCCTTTGCTTTGTTTTCAGGATTGGGGTAAAAAAAAAAAAAAAAACTCGAGAACTTTGCCAAATATACTGAGAGATAAAACTTGGAAAGCCAGTGGGAGAAAGGACATGGGTGATGTTTCCCAAGCTAAGGAACTTAATTTCCCACCGACAGGAAGGCTGAACCATGTTTAAATGCACTCTGGGCCATGCTAGGAAAAAATAATTCAGAGCGTCTGGTCATGTGCAGAGGGCCTCCCTTCACCAAGAAAGGGCTTTGTACCGGAACACGGTATTTTTCAAGCTAGGCCAGGGGTAGGCATCCTTGGCTCTTCTATGACTCGAGGACTTCAACTCCCAGAATCCCTGAGCCAGCCATGCTGAGGGGAAAGGGAGAGGTTTCCAAGCTGAGCCATGCTGGCTCAGGAATTCTGGGAGTTGAAGTCCACGAGTCATAAAAGAGCCAAGGTTGACTACCCCTGGTATAGGGCTTCCTATCTGAGCAGGGGGTTGGCCTAGAACGGGTAGGCAACCTTGGTTCTTTTATGACTCATGGACTTCAACTCCCAGAATTCCTGAGCCAGCCATGCTGAGGGGAAAGGGAGAGGTTTCCAAGCTGAGCCATGTTGGCTCAGNAAAAATAATTCAGAGCGTCTGGTCATGTGCAGAGGGCCTCCCTTCACCAAGAAAGGGCTTTGTACCGGAACACGGTATTTTTCAAGCTAGGCCAGGGGTAGGCATCCTTGGCTCTTCTATGACTCGAGGACTTCAACTCCCAGAATCCCTGAGCCAGCCATGCTGAGGGGAAAGGGAGAGGTTTCCAAGCTGAGCCATGTTGGCTCAGGAATTCTGGGAGTTGAAGTCCACGAGTCACAAAAGAGCCAAGGTCGCCTACCCTTGGTATAGGGCTTCCTATCTGAGCAGGGGGTTGGCCTAGAACGGGTAGGCAACCTTGGTTCTTTTATGACTCGTGGACTTCAACTCCCAGAATTCCTGAGCCGGCATGGCTCAGCTTGGAAACCTCTCCCTTTCCCCTCAGCATGGCTGGCTCAGGAATTCTGGGAGTTGAAGTCCGCAAGTCATAAAAGAGCCAAGGTTGCCTATCCCTGAGCTAGGCCATGCGACTCAGTCCCAGCTTTTCAAAATAAACGGTTAGCAAGGCTGGATCTTTCCACCAAGTCAGATTTTTTTTTCCCTCATGTGGTTCTCTTAGTAACGCCGAGGACAAACCATATTCTGGATTCTGCTAATGGACAAGGTTTTTTTCTCTGCAGGTTTCCTGGGTAACAAAAAGATGGAAATTACGCTCTCCTCCTACATCTCGAAAAAAAATATCTAATTTTATTATTATTTTTTTGGCAAAGCAGATCCGCTAAGTTTCTAGTCCTCATGAGTCTGAGTAAAGATCTGGGTTGAAACAGGCCTTGATCTTAAATCTTACCTGAAATTATTATTAAGCTGAGGCATCTAAGGAACAACACAAGGAAGAGGCAAAATTATTATTATTATTATTATAAAAAAATCTTTGGAGATTTTACTCAAGGGATAAGCAGCCCCTCGCCCAGCTTCGTTCCCCCTTCACCAAAGGGAACGTAGGCCTCAACCCAAACTGCAGGTAGTCCTCGATTTACGGCCACCATCGACCGCAGATCTTCCGTTGTTCAGCAAGGCGGTTGTTGTAAGTGACCGGCGTCTGATTTTTACGACCTTTCTTTGCCACGGTTGTTAAGTGAATCGCTGCCGAGGTGAACTGAATCACGCGGTCGTTAAGCAAACCCAGCTTCCCCCCCCCATCGACTTTGCTTCTCGGAAGTCGGCTAGGAAGGTCACAAATTTGGGTCACGTGACCGTGAGGGTGCTGCGACGGTCGCAAGTGCGAGAACCGGTTGCAAGTTGCCTTTTTTTCAGTGCCGTTCTTCGAACGGTCGCTAAATGAACGGCTGTAAGTCGAGGACTACCTCTCTGTGTCCCCCACCCCAAATCGTGCCTCGGAGAAGCAGCCTTAAAAACTGACCACCCACCCATTTTACTCCTGGGTGCCTTCCTCCCACTGGCTAGTCCTGAAAGACGATTAAAAATAATCATAATAATAATCCCATTTTTCCCCCACTTGCTTTTCACTTCTGTGTTTGTTGTTCTTTTTTTTGTTTTGTTTTGTGTCCTTTTTTCTTACAGAAGGTACTCCGATCCGAGGTAAGATTGCTTGTGCTGGCGAGCACAATTGCCCCTTTCCTTTACAAAAAAACCCAAACAAAAAAACCACTGTATTTTTCCTCTTGATTATAACCGGTTATTGTTCCATGTAGTTGTGTGGCCTGTTGTGGTTTCTTTTCCCAATCCGGAACTGTGTTACCTTGTCACTGCTGAAAATGTCTTTTCCTGCCTTATGTGAATCTCCTCTGTTTTCTATTCCGTCCCTTTTTTTTCTCTCCTTCCCTCTGAATTCTGACTTATTTTCCAGCACACGTATAATATAATCTCATATATGTCTGTGTATATGTACACACACACATACATGCACACACATGGTTCCTTTCGGTATGTTCTCTTTTCTCCTGGATGGATGGATGGACTGAGGCACCCATGGGTGGAAGACTTCTTAAATGCTTGACTTACACGCAATTTATGGTCCTGCGGGTTTAAAAAGCTGGTTTCTCGGAAGTTTGGATGGGTGTAGACATGTCTGGGTTGTGTGTTTGTGTATGTGTGTATCTAAGAATAACTCTTTTCCACCTTCCACCGAGATGACAAGTGTTAATTTGACACAGCTCCAGAAGTGCAGGACATAAGAAGTGGGATTTTTTAAAAAATGAAATCGCAGTGGTATTTTCTGGTGTGAAGAAGAAAAAAAACCAGAAGTTAATACAAAAGATGTACAAAATCAGAATAAAACAAGGGTTTTTTGCTTTGTTTTTTAAATGCAGAAGCCAATTTTTCCTGATACCCCACGAATCTCTCGCAGTCCCTCTCTGAAAACGGAGAATTCATTTAGCTCCCTTCCTAAATAGCAGAAAATTAACCCTGTCCTAATTGGAATGATCCAAAAGATCAAATCTTGAAGTTATTTCTGCGGCTTCTTTCCAGACAGGAAGACGTTGTGTTGGGGCTCTGATCCAGCAGAGCTGTTCCTAGGTAGTTTTTATTAAGAGCCTCCATGCGCAGGGGCAGTCTACCTTGGATTGTGAGATGCTGAGGACGAGGAACCTGGCAGAGTTCACGGTTTGGTGATGGAGCTTCCGTAACTCTGCCTCCATGCATAGGAGCAGTCTACCTTGAGCCTCCATGCATAGGGGCAGTCAACCTTGAGTTGTGAGACCCTGAGGACCAGGAACTTAGGAGGGTTCGTGACATGGTGGTGGACTTTCCATAACTCTAGAGGACAGGTGAAATGGCTTTGAGGGATAAGAGCAGGGGTCTTCAAACTTGGCAACTTTAAGACTTGTGGACTTCAACTCCCAGAATTCCTCAGCCAGCCCTGAGGGCTGGCTGAGGAATTCTGGGAGTTGAAGTCCACAAGTCTTAAAGTTGCCAAATTTGAAGACCCCCGGATAGGAGGAAGATGAAAGAAACCCCAGTCAATATGCAAACGACTCAGACGAGGCCCTCCCTAGGCCATCGAAGATAGGGAGATGGCATAGCTGACTGGGGAATTCTGGGAGTTGAAGTCCACCCATGTTAAAATTGCCCAAGTTGAAAACACGACTTTTATTGACGGCGAGAAAAATGCTGCATTCTTAACCAAAGCTGTATAGCATCCCAAAAGGTGTTTGGTTCATGGGGAGGGGCCGGCGGTTGTTGCTTCGGGGTGTGGTCAGGTGTGTTATAGTTGTGGCTGTTTGAGGCTGAAGAGGGAAGCACAGCCTAATGGTTGAAAAAAGTATATTGGACTGCAGGGAAGGGTTCTCTTGCAGACGTTTCATGACCCAACTAGGGAACATCATCAGTGCTATAAGAAAGTGGGGTTTGCTCTCAGTTTATATTTCAAAAGGGACAATAAACAAAAACTAAAAAGGAAACAAAAAACACCTTCTCAATACACAGATAAGCAGGGATTGACACCTGACAAAACAACTGGAAACAATACCCTAATCAAGAAATTACCAGTGAAATTACCAATAGGTCTAGTAAGTGTTGGAAATGCAAACAAAAAACCAGGTACTTACTATCATATCTGGTGGACGTGCCCTAAAGCTAAAAGATTTTGATCAAAAATACACATACGGTTAGAGAAAATGATTAAAAAACACATAGTCTTTAAGCCAGAATTGTTTTTGTTAGGCATAATAGTAGGAAACCATGAGAAGGAATGTATGTACTTAATTTCACCTGTATTAACTGCAGCAGGGATAGCATTTGCTCAATTTTGGAAAAATGAAAATCTACCCACGGAGGAAGAATTCATTAAAAAAAAAATTAGATTGTGCAGAAATGGACAGATTGACATTGAAGATAAAAGAGAAAGAAGATTCGGTATATTTTAGAACATGGGACAATTTTTATCAATGGCTAGAAAAACGAGCTAGAGAGAAAGGAACGTAATACGCCTGAAGGCAGGACAAGAAGCAACGGGTGGAAACTAACCAAGGAGAGAAGCAACCTAGAACTAAGGAGAAACTTCCTGACAGTTAGAACAATTAACCAGTGGAACAACCTGCCTCCAGAAGCGGTGAATGCTCCAACGCTGGAAGTTTTTAAGAAGAAACTAGACAGCCATTTGTCTGAAATGGTATAGGGTTTCCTGCCTGAGCAGGGAGTTGGATTAGATGACCTCCAAGGTCCCTTCCAACTTTATTATTATTATTATTATTATTATTATTATTATTATTATTATTATTATTATTAATAATAATAATAATAATATGTACTATGTAACATTAAATATGTATTAGTAGGAAGAAGACTATCGGGTGAAGAGAAGGTTTAAGAAATATATTATTAACTAACATATTGATTATGAAAATACAGAAACTAATTATTACTGATTGTTTTTTAAACACATGAATCTAGACAATATGCTGTTTGCTAAATACTAAAGAATGTTATCTTATAAAAACTAATTTTATACACACACACACACACATATACACGCACATAAAAGAAATTACCAGTGAGAAAACCATACTCCCACCAAAACTGATAGGGCAAGGATATAAATAGAGAGCAAGCAAAATCCTCTCCCTTCTAGCACTGATGATGTTACCTAGCTGGGTCGTGAGACGTCTGCAAGAAAACAACCAAGCTCAGAGAGCACCAAGGACCCCCCACAACTCCAAATATGCTATCGGTGATAATTGGTGTGTTCGGCACATTTGAGCTGTTTCTCCCTTTTTGTGCCCGATCTGCCCTTGGTCGATAATTAACGTATTTCTCGGCATCTCCTCTTTCCTTTTCGCCTTGTTGTCTCTTCCCTCCCAGGTGGCCTTCAGATCGAGAGCAGCGAGGAGACGGACCAGGGTAAATATGAGTGCGTTGCCAGCAACAGCGCCGGCGTGCGCTATTCTTCGCCCGCCAACCTATACGTGAGAGGTAGGGAGCGCCGTGACTCACAAAAGTGGCAAATGTGGTCTCCGTGAACGCCCCTACACGCATGCACGTCCACCTCTTTCGGGAGCCTTTTTACAAGATGGAAGAAGTAGGGTTGAAGGCATCTCCCAAGAGAAGGAAGCTTAATTAATTGGGGTCCTTTACTAAGGAGAAACTTCCTGACAGTTAGAACAATTAACCAGTGGAACAACCTGCCTCCAGAAGCAGTGAATGCTCCAACACTGGAAGTTTTTTAAAAAGAGATTGGACAACCATTTGTCTGAGATGGTATAGGGTCCCCTGCCTGAGCAGGGGGTTAGACAAGATGACCTCCAAGGTCCCTTCCAACTTTATTATTATTATTAAATATGAGCCAACCATGTGCAACAGCAGCCCAAAAAGCCAATGCAAGCCTGGCCTGTATTAAGAGAAGGATAGAATCATGATCACATGAAGAAGAACCGCTTTACAAAGCCTTAATAAGGCCGCACCTGGAGTACTGCATCCAGTTCTGGTCACCACAATATTAAAAAAAGGTGTTGAGACTCTAGAAAGAGTGCAGAGAAGAGCAACAAAGATGATTAGGGGGCTGGAGGCTGAAAGGTACGAAGAACGGCTGCAGGAATTGGGTATGGCTAGTCTAGAGAAAAGAAGGACTAGGGATGACACGATAGCAGTCTTCCAATATTTGAGGGGTCGCCACAAAAAACAGGGTCAAGCTATTCTCCAAAGCCCCTGAAGGCAGGACAAGAAGCAACAGATGGAAACTCATCAAGGAGAGAAGCAACCTAGAACTAAGGAGAAACTTCCTGACAGAACAATTAACCAGTGGAATAGCTTTCAGAAAGAGGCTGGACAGCCACTTGTCCGGAATGGCATAGATGCTCAAGTAGGGGGTTGGACTAGAAGACCTCCGAGGTCTCTTCCAGCTCTGTTATTCTGTGTTCATGATCCAGAGATCCTTTGAGGAGGGAGAACACAACTTTGTTAAAATCAGCAATTGTGGACTGTCCGATACATTGGTTAGACCAGGTCCAAGGAGAATGCAGAATACTGTTCAGGTAGTCCTTGACTTAGAACAATAATTAGAACCAGAGAAGCAACCTAGAACTAAGGAGAAATTTCCTGACTATTAGAACAATTAACCAGTGGAACTACCTGCCTCCAGAAGCTGTGAATGCTTCAACACTGGAAGTCTTTAAGAAGAGACTGGACAGCCATTTGTCTAAATGGTATAGGGCAGTGATGGCGAACCTTTTAGAGACCGAGTGCCCAAACTGCAACCCAAAACCCACTTATGCATCGTCGGGTGCCGGGTGGGTGTGGCCCATTGGGTGGGTGTGGCCCATTGGGTGGGCGTGGCTGCGGTGGTAATAGCAGGCTGGGTGGGACTAAAAAGTTCAATCAATCAATTCCAACTTTACGAGATCTTTTTTTCCCCGCAAGTAGTTGAAATTGACTGATTGATTAAACCTTTTTTTTTTGTACATGGCGGCAGAGGCCTAAAGCGAAAAAGTTTTATAAAACCCAGCTGAAGGCCTAGGACTGGGGCGACGGCGCACGTGCCCACAGAGAGGGCTCTGAGTGCCGCCTCTGGCACCCGTGCCATAGGTTCGCCACCACGGGTATAGGGTTTCCTGCCTGAGCAGGGGGTTGGACTAAATGACCTCCAAGGTACCTTCCAACTTTATTATTATTAAAGAATGTCTGTCGCTAAGTGAGCAGTCATTAAGTGAGTCCTCACGTGACCATGCCCAATTTTGCGACCTTTTTGCCACAACCCCACAATAGAATTTCTGTCGCTAAACAAGATGGCAGTTAAGCGAGTATTGGCTGTGTTGCTCACTTCACAACTGCAGTGATTCGCTGAGCAATGGGGGCAAGAAAGGTCGTAGAATACGGCAAAGCTCACTTAATCGCTGTCTCGCTTAGCGACAGAAATTTGGGGCTTAATTGTGAGCATAAGACGCGGGCTACCTGTATAGACTAGACCAGGGGTAGGCAACCTTGGCTCTTGGATGACTCGTGGACTTCAACTCCCAGAATTCCTGAGCCAGCATGGTTCAGCTTGGAAACCTCTCCCTTTCCCCTCAACGTGGCTGGCTCAGGAATTCTGGGAGTTGAAGTCCACAAGTCATGAAGGGGCCATAGTTCCCTCATGCTGGCTGAGGAATTCTGGGAGTTGAAGTCCACAAGTCATAAAAGAGCCAAGGTTGCCTACCCCTGGACTAGAATCTAACCCTCAGAAGCAGATTTTTGAAGAGATGCTCTTTTTTTGCTACCGTTGTTAAGCGAGTCTGGGGTTATTAAGTGAATCCACTTCCCCCATTGACTTCACTTATCGGAAGCCCCACAACTGATGATCAGGTGATGCCAGGATGCTGCAACGATCATAAATACTTGCCAGTTACCAACTGCCCGGATTTTGACCGGGTCTCCCCAGGGACGCTGTGACGGTTTTAAGCACGAGGACCAGTTGCAAGTCAACTTTTTCAGCACCGTCGTAACTCTGAGCGTTTGCTAAGCGAACGGTCGTAAATGGAGGATTCCCTGTAAATGGGAAGAATTCAGTCCCTCGTTGAAATGTGTAGGGGAGCCTTTGAAGATGAGGGTCATCCTTCCAAAGGTCTTAATTAAAATATAAAATAAGCAGTGCAGGAGAGAGGCGGATTCGAATCCTTGTGCCTTCCTGAGGCTGTGTAGGATTTGATCTAGCCAGGGCTCACTCCCTCTTCTTACCCCCTTCCCCATTTGCAAAGGCAGCCAACAGACCCCCTCTTGGCTCGTTTAATAGAATAGAATAACAGGGTTGGAAGGGACCTTGGGGGGTCTTCTAGTCCAGCCCCCTTGCTGAGGCAGGAAACCTTATAGCAGGGGTCTGCAACCTTGACAGCTTTAAGACTTGTGGACTTCAGCTCCCAGAATTCCTCGGCTAGCATAGGCCCCTGCCCTATAGCATTTCAGACAAAAAACTTCCAGTGATGGAGCATCCACAACTTCTGGAGGCAGGTTGTTCCACTGGTTAATTCAGGGGTCTTCAAACTTGGCCCTTTTATGACTTGTGGACTTCAACTCCCAGAATTCCTCAGCCAGGCAAGCTGGCTAAGGAATTCTGGGAGTTGAAGTCCGCAAGTCACGAAGGGGCCATAGTTTCCCCCATGCTGGCCGAGGAATTCTGGGAGTTGAAGTCCGCAAGTCACGAAGGGGCCATAGTTTCCCCATGCTGGCTGAGGAATTCTGGGAGTTGAAGTCTGCAAGTCATTTAAGGGGCCATAATTCCCCCATGCTGGCTAAGGAATTCTGGGAGTTGAAGTCCGCAAGTCATAAAAGGGCCAAATTTGAAGACCCTTGGGGTTAATTGTTCTCACTGTCAGAAAATTTCTTCTTAGTTCTAGGTTGCTTCTCTCCTTGATTAGTTGTTGATTAATGTTGAAGCAAGGGTAGATTCTGCCAAGTCTTTTGCCCGGATTCGGAAACTTGGAGTAACTACAACAGCCTGCTCTGTGCGAATGCTAAAACAACCCTAGAAATTGGCTTTTTTAAAATTGTCAGGTAGTCCTCGACTTACAACCACAACCGAGCCCCAAAATTTCCGTTGCTAAACGAGACACTCGTTCAGTGAGTTTTGCCCTATTTTATCACCTTTTTTTGCCACCATTGTTTTAAGTGAATCCCTGAAGCTCTTAAGTTTGGTAACGCGGTCATAAAGTGAATCCGGCTTGCCCCGTTGACTTTGCTCGTCAGAAGGTCGCAAAAGGGGATCACGTGACCCCCGGGGACCTTGCGACCGTCATAAATATGAGACAGTTGCCAAGCGTCCGAATTTTGATGTGGGAATTTGCAGCTGGCTCATATTTACGACGGTCGCAGTGCCCCACGGTTATGTGATCCCCTTTTGCGAAAATAATAATAATAATAATAATAATAATAATAATAATAATAATAATAATAATAATAATAATAATAATTAAAAAAAAAAAAAAACCAGTTGGAAGCGACCTTGGAGGTCATCTAGTCCAACCCCCTGCTCTTCTGACGAGCAAAGTCCATGGGGAAGCCAGATTCACTTCACAACCGGGTTACCAACTTAACAACAAGTGCAGTGATGCACTTAACAACTTAAGACCCTGAGGATGCCGCAACAGTTTAAGTGTGTCAAACAGTCACAAGTCTGTTTTCTCAGTGCTGTTGTAACTTTGAACAGTCGCTAAATGAAAGGTTGTAAGTCAAGGACTACCTGTAGTTCTTTTACCCCAAGGAGCAAGAAGAAAACACCAAGAGGAGAGCCAGCTTTTCTATGAGACAAGTTAAAATATTCCCTCCAGGAGCAGATCGGAAGGGTCGGGATAAAGCCATCCAGTGACTTCCAGTTTCTAGGCTAACCAGCCTGCACCCTTACTATTTTTTCCTGAGAGTTATCAAAGTGAAACTTATCAAATTAGAACCAGTCTAGAACTAAGGAGAAATTTCCTGACAGTGAGAACAATTAACCAGTGGAACGGCTTGCCACTAGAAGTTAAAGGTGCTTCATCCCTGGAGGCTTTAAAAAAGAGATTGGGCAACTTTTTTGTCCAAAAATCACATACGGTCTCCTGCTTGAGCAGGGGGTTGGACTAGAAGACCTCATAGGCCCCTTCCAGTTCTGTTATTCTGTTAGTCGCCTCTTCCACAGGGGACACTCGGTATCCCAATGGCCCAATAAATTGCAAGTTTGTTCGTTCACCTTCTGTGCACGAAATTTTGGTAGCAGAATGCGGGGCTGGCTCCGATGGAAATTTATTCCAAGCATAAAAACGCCTGTCCCTTGGAGATTTTTAAGAAGAGACTAGACAGTCACTTGTCTGAGATGGTTTTCCTGCTTGAGCATGGGGCTGGACTAGAAGACCTCCATGGTCCCTTCCAGCTCTATTCTATTGTATTCTAAGGTGCCTTGTTAAGCTCCAGGAAAAAAAATATCCAGGTGAACAACACAACTTGCCTCCAAGGAAGCATTATTTCCAAGATAATCGCTAGAAATGAGTTAGGGAAAAAACAAAAGATGCAAACTAAGCAGGCTTTTCGGAATACCGGCAGCCCTTGATTTACGACCAGAACTTCCATCGCTAAGCGAGTCACACCTGTTTTACGACCTTTTTGCTGTGGTCGTTAAGTGAATCACACAGTCGTGAAGCAAATCTGACTTCCTCCGTTGACTTTGCTTGTCAGAAGCCAGCTAGGAAATTTGCAACGGGCAATTACATCGTGCCTCCGGGATGCTGCAACTGTCATAAGTGAGGGGTCCTGGGTGCTTGGTTGTTTCCTTGCAGACGTTTCATGACCCAACTAGGTAACATCATCAGCGCTAGGAAGGAGTGGGCTTTGCTTTCAAATCTTTGTAGCCCTGATGATGTTACCTAGTTGGGTCACGAAACGTCTGCAAGGAAACAACCAAGCTCGGAGAACACCAAGGACTTCTTATTTCAACCGTGAGCTACGAATGTTCCCCTTTGTTGCTCCTGTCATAAATACACACCAGTTGCCAACCTGCCTGAATTTTGATCAAGTGACAGTGGAGATGTTGTGACGGTCATAAGTGTGAGGATCCCTTTTTTTCAAGGCCATTGCAACTTCGGACCATCACTAAGCCAACGGTCGTAAATAGAGGACTATCTGTATTCAGAAGAGAGGCAGTGCTCATTCTTGGCCTTTGTCTAGCCCAGGGGTCTTCAAACTTGGCCCTTTTATGACTCGTGGACTTCAACTCCCAGAATTCCTGAGCCAGCATGGGGGAACTATGGCCCCCTCATGACTCTTGGACTTCAACTCCCAGAATTCCTGAGCCAGCATGGGGGAACGATGGCCCCCTCATGACTCTTGGACTTCAACTCCCAGAATTCCTGAGCCAGCATGGGGGAACTATGGCCCCCTCATGACTCTTGGACTTCAACTCCCAGAATTCCTGAGCCAGCATGGCTCAGCTTGGAAACCTCTCACTTCCCCTCAGCATGGCTGACTCAGGAATTCTGGGAGTTGAAGTCTACGAGTCAAAAAAGAGCCAAGGTTGCCTACCCCTGGTCTAACCTACCCAGAGATATAACCACAAACTTCCAACATTTTGAATTGTACAGCTTTCATTCAATCTGAACTGGATCGGTGAATTTTCCACCTGCACAAACCTATTTTTTTTATATCTGGCTGAATGTCTCTCCTTGAATTTTTTTTTTTAAACTAGTGGTGTTTTCAGGAGCTTCAATAGCTATTCATCCCTCCCCCCTCAAAAAAAATCCCACAAAAAAAACCTACTTGCCCCCATGAAAAGAGAGATTAGCCATTTGATAGGCTCATGAATGTTTTTTAAAAACTTCTTTTCGTGGCTGGCCACCATGAAGTTGCGGGAGACTTGCCTTCAGATGTTTTTCCAGAAAATGTCAGGGTTTTTTCCCCCGATTCCCCCCCCCCTTCCCTTCCCTTGACCTCAGTGCCAAATTTTAAAAACAAAGTGGATTTGTTACTGTTTATTGTCATGATGATATGGAGGTATATATGGTTTCTGTTACTTATGTCTGTTTGGAACTGCAGCTTCCTGCCGTAAAGCAGGCATTTGCAACCTTGACAACTTTTAAGACTTGTGGATTTCAGCTCCCAGAATTCTTCAGGCAGCAGAGCTCAAATCCACAAGTCTTATAAAGTTGTCACGGTTGCAGATCCCTGTCATAAAGGATGAGATGTAGTTTTTGGGGCAGATCTGCAGGAAAGTTTTTTCTCTCCTGGTTACAGTCTCTCCGTCTTATTTTTATTTATTTATTACATTCATTTGCCGCCCATCTCATTTCAAAGACTCCCGGCGGCTTACAGCATAATCAACATTTAAAAAAGACCTTAAAATCATCGGAGACAAAACGACAACTCCTTTAAAACGGAGCTGCCAATCCCGGGATTCATGCAGAATTTGAATTCCGTAGTGAGGAGAAACTGTGAGAAGCGGCGTACAAGGATTACAAACTTGTGTTTGAATGCTTACAACGAAGGGGGAACGAAAAACTCAACGCTCCCAAAATTAGCCGAAAGGGGTAGACAATTTACACAAGAGCCACTTCTATTTTGAACCCCTTTTCTAAAAGGCCCGGGTGTCGTGGAAACGTTTGCCCCAGTTTAAAATGGAGACCGGTTTCCATTAAGCTTGCTGGTTTGATTGGGGTTGGATCTATTTCTGGGGTGGGGGGGAGGCAGATATGATGGGTGGGCTTGGGGGTGTGTGGGAGGGGTCTTCTCTGCCTTGTTTTTCCCTCTTTGTTGTGACTGCACTCCAAAAGTCTTGACGTTCTTTATTTTCCTGACTTTTTTTCCTGTAACACGGTTGTTTCTCTAATGACTTTGGGGGTTTGCTGGGAGGGTGGTGGTGGTGGGGAATCAAAAGCACCTCTTTTCTTTTTCTTTGGGGTTTTTTCTCCGAACAGCCAAAGAGGTCTGGTTTTTCCACCCCCTGCTTTTTTTTTTCTCCCCCTCCCTTTTTTTCTGTTAAGTGTGTGCGGGGAAGACGATTCAACGGTGTTCGAAGCATGTCCTTAATGGATGCTGGGCTTCCGCCACGCGTCTTCCCCTTCCATTTGGCAAGATCGGATCTTGATCCGAAGATATAGAAAATCGCGTTCTCCCTCCCCCTCAAAAAATAAAATAAAAATAAAATCAGAATTGGAGGATTCCCGTCAAAATTTGGGATTTTGGGGGGGGCCAGCTCGGGCCCAAATTGGGCGGGTCCGTTGCAACCTTCGGTCCCATCCTGAGTTCCTAGGATGCGACTCCCAAGCCCATGAGGACATGCCTTCGAATGGCCCTCAGGATCTTACCGGCCCTGCCTTAAATATTTTGGAGGATCGCGGAAGAGATCTAACCAACGATGAGGACCTCACGGTGACGGAGATGGTGATGGGAACACCGTCACCCGGGGTGCCACGCTGTCCTCGTTCATCTTTCTTTCCTTCAGCTGCGGGGGAGGGGGGCGACGTGGGGGGGAAGGGGGTGGGCCATCCAGCAGTGCCAGAGGGGCTTCTGAATTCTCGGGAAAGGGGGGGGGCTTTCTCTAAACTGGCACGTCTGGTTGATATGAGGCGCCCCCCCTCCCCAGAGACTCTTCACGATTTGCAGGGCCTTCTTGGTGGTGGCCCCCGATGGTTCGGAAGAAAAAGGGACATATTTGGAGATTTTTTTTATTTTATTTAAAAAAAAAAGTTTTTTTTGTTATTTTTTTTTTTAAGTTAAAAAAAACGGAAAGAAAGAGACAAAAAAAAGCAAAAAAAAAGCGATTTGCAGTTGCCAGCCTTGAATGGCCTTTTTTTACTCTCTCTGTGTTCCCTATTTTTTCTCTCTTCTCATGTCATTGTGTTCCGCATCAAACCCCTTTAACATCCCTCAGAGCTACGAGAAGGTTGGTGTGGTTTTTTTTTCTTTTTTTACTTTCTTTACCCACATTTTTACATTTCTTAAGAGAGAAGTATATATATATCTATATATCTATATCTTATCTATTATCTATAATCTATCCTTTTTATAAAAAAAAACGGCTATGATGATGATGATTTAAAAAAAAAAAAAGCTCTGTCGACGGCAAATATGTCTATGAAAAAAAAAATAAGGAAAAAAAATTAAGAAAAGAGAGAGAGAGAAAGAGAAAGAGAAAGAAAGCAAGAAAAATCTCTTTGTCGATGTCATTTAAAAAATATATATATAAAAAAATAAATAAATAATCGATGGCGGGCGAGATCCCGCTCGTTCTTGGGTCTCGCCGGAGATGAGCTGAGTTGCATTGTGGGCCTCTGTCTTGCATCCTTGGTTAACGTTGCTGCGTTGTATGTGCACTTTTTTAATCCTATTTACGGACGTTTGGGCCTGATGCATGACTATAGGAGAATGTTAACAATGATCTTTGCATGCCGGTCCTTTATTTATTTATTTATTTATTTTACAATTTATTTATTTTTTAATTTTTACGGCTTCATTTTTCTTCTTATTATTATTCTTATTTAAAAATAATCATTTTCCTTGGAGGAGAGCGTCCATTTGGTTTCAGTTTTTTTTTCCAAACGATCTGTGTGCGCGTGTGCGTGTATATATCGATCTATATATCCATTTTTTTATTTATTTTTTGGGGGGGGAAAAGATATTTTGCCTTTTCTTTTTTCTTTTTTTTTTCGTTCAGTGGAGTTCCTCCCCCTTCCCTCCGAGCTATCCCTTCCTGGTTCTCAGTTTGTTTTTATTTATTGATTGATTTGCTTTGGATTTTTTTTTCTCTCTCTCTCTCTATCTCTCTCTCTATCTCTCTTTATTTGGATTCGTTGGTTTTTTTGTTGTATTTATTATTATTATTGTTATTTTAAGTTGGTTCGGCTATGCTGCGATTTATTCCAAATGCATTGTGCAAAAAAAACAGCCAGTGTTCCTGCTTCCCTCGTACCCCCCCCTCCGATTCTATCCCGTTTTCCATTTCTTATTGATAATTGAAATTACCTACAACCCAAAAATAACAAACATCACACAGTTCTGAATATTTTTCTGAAACCAACGCATAGGAGATGTGCCTTTGTTCCCTTAGCTGAGTGAAAGGAGTGGGATGTATATTTTAGGAACACAAATAAGGGGACCATTTGCCCAGCTGATTAATGCCTGGTGTGTGTGTGTGTGTGTGTGTGTGTGTGTGTGTGTGTGTGTGTCTAAATTCAATCCCAGACAGAATCTGTCCTGCATTGCAATATTCACTCCCATTCATACATTCTATTGGGCTCTTTGCCTATCTGGTCCTCCATGAAAAAGAGCCGAATACAAAGAACGTCAGGGACTTCAAGCCTCTCTCTCCAACAAAGCTCTATGGTAGCCAAGGCATGGCGGCATTTTCAGGCCCGGAGTGGCTGTGCGCCTGTAGCTTCCTGCCTCCTCCCTGACCAATGGGAGAAGGAGCTAGCCCCTGGGATGAAGCCTTGCCAGGACCCTCTTGTTGCAAAGGCTCATGGGATATTTTATTTATTTAGGCCAGGGGTCTTCAAACTTGGCCCTTTTATGACTTGTGGACTTCAACTCCCAGAATTCCTCAGCCAGGCACGTTGGCTGAGGAATTCTGGGAGTTGAAGTCCACAAGTCATAAAAGGGCCAAGTTTGAAGACCCCTGATTTAGGCCCATCTCACCTAAGAGACTCTATTAGAGAGAAGAGGGAGAGCTAGTCATTGAAATGAACGCAATAAATATAGGGATTCTTCGACTTAGACAGGAATTGAGTCTGGAATTACAGTTGTAAGTTGTTGAGGTTGTAAGTCGAGACATCGCACAACCAGACCTGATTTTTCAGCATTTTTTAAATAAACACTGCAGTCTTTAAGTAAATCAATTTTCCCCAATGAGCATTTTTTGCTGGAAACTGGACGTAAACACTGGAGGCTGGCAATATACGTCACATAAACCCATGGTTTGGTTAACTGCTTTTTAATAAACCTTGGTTTGGCTAATCTAGTTTTGGTCGATATTTATTTTGAATATATCCTACTTAGAAATCACACATCTCCCTTACAGAGGGACACTTGACTGTAAGTAGTTCCTTCCACTCACAACTGAGGCAGAAGGACCCATTTCTGAGTGAAGTTAGATCGTGTGTGGAGATTTGTAGAATAATTCATCTTACGAGCTTTATGATTCTGATAAAAATCTGATTCAATCCAGAAATCATCAGAGCCTGGATTGCACCATTGAAGCACCACCATTTTGACTTTTTTGACCATGCCCTGTGGGTACCCCTGGATTTAATCATAACTTACTTGCAGAGTCTTAAAGTTGCCAAGATTGGATACCTCTGAGATCGATAGATGATGAGAAAGAGAGAGGGAGGGAAGGAAGGAAGGAAGGAAGGAAGGAAGGAAGGAAGGAAGGAAGGAAGGAAGGAAGGAAGGAAGGAGCTGGGCAAAACCCCTTATGTTTTCCTACTGTGCCACATCCCATTTTATGCTCAGCTGTTATTCCCATTTCTTTAACTTTTAGTACCAAAAACAAAAAAAAAAGAACAATATGAAATTTTTCTAAAATTCTGAAAAAGCAGAGGTTAATGCTGTGTGATTTTTGTTGTCATTGATATTTGTCTGAGAAATCCGGCGCAACTATTTTTTTTATTTTCCCCCCCTCTCTATATTTCTTTCTCTCTTTCTCTCCCTATCTTTTTCTCTTTGCCTCTCTCTTTCTTCCTCTTTCTTCTTTTCTCTGACCATCTGTCCTTCTCTGAAGATGCAGAGAATTCCATGCTTAGATGCCTGGATGCACATGCAGACACACACACACACACACACACACACACAACAACAATACACACACACACACCATCCTTTCCCACCTTCTTCCCTTTATTTACCAAGTTCAAAGTGGGTTCCTAGAACTATAAAGCTTGTAAACCAGGGCTGTCCAACTTTGGTAACTTTAAAACTAGTGGATTTCAACTCCCAGAATTCCCCAGCTAGCCATGTTGACTGGGGACTTCTGGGAATTGAAGCCCACAAGTCTTAAAGTTGCCAAGGTTGGACACCTCCGTTCTAAATCTTGACCATCATCCTAGACCTCAAGACCTTTTAGGAAACATTGCAAAGAGTTATTCTTAATACAAGCTAGTCTTCTTTCTGAGGGATTGTGGCATAAAGGAAGTATTATTAAGGCACCAGCAGAGGAACTCCCATTAAGATGGTGACATTAGGGCAGTAGAACACTCCCAATGCAGGAAGACATGTGGATAATTGGCTATTTTAATTTTCTGCTGAATAAGTGAGTTGCTGTATGTCCTAATTTAGCAGAGAACAGCCCCTTTTTTTGTAGGAAGCCATCGTTGGTTTGAGGAAACCTAGAATTCTTTAGAACAGATCATAGTTAATCATGCTATTCAGCTGGATTCCTAATAAGCAAGGATTCTCCTTTTGGTTGTAATGTTAAGTAAGCGATAGATGAGGCCATTTGGGTCTAGCAGCTAACCCAACCCCAAATCCACTCCTTTCCTGCCTGGAAAAGCTAGACTTTTTCTAAGTCATTTCGTTCCATTTTTGCTTATAGAGAAGTTCATTTAAAGAAAACAGAATTGAAGACTAGGATACTAACCAGCCTAAAACAGGAATTGGGCAAATCAGCTGCATACTGCTGTTTTTTTTGGATGGCAAAATCCAATTATAGGCAGATTCGGTTTAATCCTGGTTTGTTGAGTCAACCACAAGGCCCTAAAGCAGGGGTGTCACCAAAACCGCGCCCACCCCATTGCCGGCAATGGGAAAAAAGTTGCGATACGTCGCGACACATTACGTGCCCTAAACCAAACCAACAGTTTTCAGTCCTGGGGTTATGAATGAACCCAGCCCAATATTTCCATTATTTAAAAAAATCAGGATAAACGCTGAGTCTGAAATATCTTTATCGCCGTTTGCAGATTTCCACAGAAATCCTGCGTCTCCTTTAAAGGCAGATCAGTTCACCCATTCATCCTCTGCAATAGGACATCAGCGTCCAGAAGACAACTTGATGGCATCTAACGATGTTGTGTGCATTGCAACAATGCTGTGTAAATAACTTGAATTGCATAAAAGTAGTCCTCAACTTACAGGCACAATTGGGACCAGAGTTTCCATGGCTTTAAGACTTTAAGATGAGTGGACTTCAACTCCCAGAATTCCCCAGCCAGCATGGCTGGCTGGGGAATTCTTGGAGTTGAAGTTCACCCATCTTAAAGTTGTCAAATTTGATTAACCCTGCTCTAAATAAAATCCATTTCCACCCTAGTATTCCTTCTGTTTTCTTTATTGGATCAAGTTTTTATTTTTTTAATAATTAAAAAAAAAACTTATTTACCTACTGGCCATTTTTCCACTTCAAAACCTGAGAAAACCTTGATTTTCTTTCTTCCCTGTCTCATCTAAACCCTGATACTGAGGGAGATATCTAGAATTTCATAAGTGGCGGGATAATGGCAGGCCACTCTTTTCAGATTCCCCTCAGTACGCTGCACAGAATCAAACAATTTTAGGCAAGGGTTTCCAAAGTTGGCAACTTTTAAGCTGGCAACCTGTTCTCCAAAGCACCCAAAGGCAGGACAAGAAGCAATGGATGGAAACTAATTAAGGAGAGAAGCAACTTGGAATTAAGGAGAAATTTCCTGACAGAACAATTAATCAGTGGAACAACTTGCCTCCAGAAGTTGTGAATGCTCCAACACTGGAGGTTTTTAAGAAAAGATTGGACAGCCATTTGTCTGAAATGGTGTAGGGCAGGGGTAGGCAACCTTGGCTCTTTTATGACTGGTGGACTTCAAGTCTCAGAATTCCTGATCCAGCCATGCTGACTGGGGAATTCTGGGAGTTGAAGTCCACGAGTCATAAAAGAGCCAAGGTTGCCTACCCCTGGTGTAGGGTCTCCTGCCT